CTGGGAGTTGAAGTCCACTCATCTTAAAGTGGCCAAGTTTGGACAACACTGGCTTAGAATAATAAAAAAAGCTAACCTGAAATATAAAATCATGTCACTAAAATCCATAAACAAACTATGTTTGAAATGAATACTGTGCCTAAAGGGAATATAATGGCATACCATAAAGTAGAATAATATACGAAGGAGGGAAACGTCAAACGAAGGCAGAAAAACTAAACTGCTTCTATTTAGTTTCTTCTCGGGACAGGGTTGGGCAACTGGCGATGCTGCAGCCACTTGTGGCCATTTTAAACTGCAGAGAGATGAATTTCTTGCCAGCCTGGGAAGTTGATAGAAGGACTGTCAGGAGGGGACAAAATAATTTTTGCTTTCACTTTGCTACAATGCTGCTTGCTTGAGTCCCACTTGCCAAACGACACGTTCCCTCCCCCCACCCCAAAAAGCAGATTACCACTGAGAGAATGCAACTCCATAAAAAAAAGATTGTCCACCCTTTTTATAACATACCAAGATATTTAAAAGCGATAGGGTATAGGGAAATTCTTCCAACTTCCTTAGATTCAGATGAGGGTTTCACCAAGGTACAATGTGCCAGTTCAGCAGAATCCTTTTGAATTCCTGGCACGTTGGGAACACTTGTCACAAAATATGAGCCTCTTTTAGTGTTAAGGATCACGGTTTAAGAATATTTTCATTCATAGGTTGAGTACCAACCTGGATTGTAAAGTGACACCCACATTTCTTTTGAGACTTCCTCTCACTAAGCAAAAAAGTACCACCTTTTTCAGGCAACAAAACAAACTTCAAAATATAGGTGGGGCCCAGACCAGAGTTTCATTTGGTTGAATTAACTTTAATACAATTCAGTTAATTTGATTTAGTCCCACTGTGTAGTATTTTGACATTTTGACAAAGCACATTCAACATTACAATTAAGGCTGAACTTCAACTTGTATTTTTTTTTTTTTTGCCTTCAAGTCAGTCCTGACTCCAGGTGACCGCCTGGAGAAGTTGCAGTTTTCTTGGCAAGATTTTCAGAAGTGGTTTGCCCTTGCCTGGGATTCAGAGAGAGGGTCTGGCCCAAAGTCACCCAGTTGGCTTTGTGCCTAAGGCAGGACTAGAATTCAGAGTCTCCAAGTTTCTAGCCTGGTGCCTTAACCACTATACCAAACTGGCTCTTGCAGCTTATACTTGCTGTCATAAAATACTTCTTTCTCCACTTCCTTTTGTTTACAGCTTGTAGAACACTGTTCTTTGGTCAATCATGTCAGGGCATAGAGGGACTTGCTGAGCATGAATTAGAACTTGGGGATTTTTAAAATTATTATGTTAGTTCTTGGATGGGAGAGCGCTACAAAATCCCAGGGCTGTAGGCTAGACTGGGGAGTTGCAAAAACATCTTGGGAGAAGTCAGTGGCAAATCACTTTCATATTGTTGTCGAGAATGTGACCATGAAGCCACCAGCAAGTTCAACTTGAGAAAGACTTTACCTTTTTACCTTTGTTACTGCTCATCACTTGGAAAAAGGACAGTCTGGAATTTTAAAAAATAACTAAACTAAGAAAGGCTTGGCCTATGTAGCTCAGAGTTGGGTACAACGGCTGGTAGCAGATCTTCAGGGTTTGGGACAGATTTTCCCAACCCTGCTTGCAAATGCCAGGAATGAGCCTGCTACTCTGGGTGTGTCCCTGTTTTTGGATGGTGGGACTAAATGGAGGACTGTTAAACAAAGAACTACAAGAACACTGGAGGATTTTAATAATGTAATTCTGATGTAAAGCGTTTGTGAAAGCACCCTCAATAGAAGCCTAAATCTTAATTAGATCTGACATCTAAAATTAAGAAGTATGTGATATAGATCTGTCTGGACTAATGGAAAGAAAAGGCATTTGGGAGTTTCCATTTCATAAAGGTAATATCATTTAGTTGTGTTGGATTAAGACTGGCAACATTCTGAGCCAGTGTAAGCTTTTGGTCGTCTTGCCTGAGGCATGACTGAAGTAGTAGTACAACTTACTAGGATGCTCCTGTGTTGGGAAAGATTGCCCTAAGAAAACCCCACCTAGTGTGGTTTAACTTTGTGAGTGACCTGTTCCTTGTCAGCCCAAACATGTTTTTTTCAATTTAAGGGTCTGCAGTGCTAAAGGTTCAGCAGATCCTTTGCACAACAGATGTTAAAGCTACTCATAACTCATTCTGGATAGTAACAGTCAGTGCTGCTGTATTAAAGGCAATTCAGATTGACTTATATAGTCTTGACCCATGAAGAAGCTAATATGTGGGGAGTAAGGCCAGTTAAATGGAGTCTGTTAAGGATTTAGTGTTCCCTGATACTCAAGCTAATTGGTATTAGCAATGGAATTACTCAGATTCTTCTAATACTATATTATAGCCATAGCCATGAATTAAATTCAAGATTTATGCTGAAGAGACATGCTGCACCAGGTTGGTTAATACTTTGCATGCAACCTACTTGCCTCTTGAGGAATCTACTGCCTAGGCTGTGTTTTGGGGTGAACTCCTTACTTGTTTTAGGAAAACCACGAGCCTCTAATCATAAGATAAGAAGCTTTGACATCACAGCATATGGAGCCAATAAAATTGACCCACCTTAAAGGGTAGTTGGAAAGAACACTTTGAACGTGCTGAAGGCTAGACAGAAGCAAAGCCTTTGATATGTCAACATTGTAGAAATTTTATTCTAGAAACCACATGTCTCATGATCTCCTTTCTGAACAACTGGCATGGATCTGTTGAACAGAAGCTGTGATCTCATGCTCACAAACATATTGTGAAGACTATGGGGATTCCAGATGGGCCCTAGATCATCTTTCTTTGATGGATTCTTTTAGTTTCTCATACAGAGAACCCAGACCCTTGTGCGTCAAGCCAACTTCAACCCAATGTACCACTAATCTTTCTCTCCCCCTCCGTGTTTTTCATAATATTTTTCACAAGAGAGTAATCTGTACATATAGTCCAATACTTACCATTGGTCCAATGACGTGGCTTATAGTCAGTCTGAACAATTTTGTTGCATCTACTGATTATATGATCCACAGTTTTTCTTATTATTTTGTTTGCTCATAATGCTGTCCTTCTAAAAAGTCACATGGATTTACAAAGTTAATTTTATGTCTAAGATAGCAACTTGAAGCAATTAAATGTGCTCCATTTTGATCAGGCCAATTAAAAGAAACCAGTTCTTTACACAGAGTGTAATTTGTGGAATTTGCTGTCATAAAAAGGCTATTGGATGAAAAGACAACATAGGTTTAGAGAAATGCTTTATGGAGGAGATCTATTGGTCCGTTTGGTTTCCAGATTCAAGGCCACGTGTAGAGGAGCAACAGCAGTAGCCTTTTTGTCCTGCTTGAAGGCTTCCCAGAAATATATTGTTGACCATTGTGGAAACAGGATGCTGGCTTAGTTGGACTTTTAGTTGGATCCAAAAAAGTGGATGTTCCTGATCTGAATCAAAGTCAGCATTTAAGCCAAGAAGTTTAATGATAAGGAATCTGCTGGTTAAATCTTACAATGGGACTCTTTCCCCCAGAACACTCAAATCAGGACCAAGCATATACAATGGCAAAACACATTAGTATTACAAACTAAGAGGGAGAGGAGAGGCAGATGGGAGAGTCAGAGGCAAATAGGAAAAAACAACAACAGTTGAATGTAATATAGCTATTAAGGCACTGCAGCTGTTTTTAACTCTTAAGATTCTGGTTCCTCTATTTTTGCCAATTTATCAAAGAAATGGATGCCACTGTGCTTAATTGTCCAAATTCTTAGTGTTCCCCTAATTACACTTCCGCAGTCTTGTTAGTTGAACTTCCCTGACTGTTTAATACATCTAAAATCTTTTCGTGAGCATAATCATGTAATCCACAGATCTGGGGCACGTGGTAGGAAAAGCTTAGAGATTATTTTTTATTTTCCAAAGACTTGGAGAGAATGAATTATATTCAAGATAAAATAGGAGGGGGGCTTCAAACCTTCTAGGAATACAGTGTTATACCTCTGCACTAATCTTTGCAAGTTTACTTCTACAGTATGGACCAGAAAATTCTGACAAGGTTGTTTTCTCTTTTAGCTCCATCAAAAGACAGGAGTCTGTTAAAACTCCCACCACTCCCAAGATCACGACATTCCCACCGGTGCCCATCACATGTGACACAGTGCGAAGCAAATGCCGAGAAATGTTAACTTCTGCTCTCCAGACAGACAGTAAGTAACAGGAGAATGAGCACAGGGTGTTTCCCCCCATTTTTCCTTCTGTAAATATTTTTTTTCTTCTATCTTAGTAGTAAAAAACCCACCAAACACAGCTCTTTGTTACATTCATCTTGTTCCCTGCTAGATTCAGGGCATATAATTAGTTAATTGTGTGCATCCTAAACGTTTGTACAGACATATGTATGAATACATTGTTTTGCAGTTGGGAATCCCTGAGGGGGGTTCATAGTTCAGTGACGAGATTCCAGGTTTATTGGTCGTGCAAATTTGATCTTGCAGAACAGATGCTAAGAAAATGCTTTCTCAACTGTTGGCTTTAGCTATAACCAGTGAAATGCTACTTGATTAGATGGCCCCATTGGCTGACTTGGTATAAAGCACTTTACTATCATAGCTCTACATGGACAGAAACAGCCAGTGCTATCCGTGTGTGCATATACACATATGTGTGCCCTGTGCTTAAAAAACCAAATGCCAGAGTTCTCTTCACTGAACCTTAGGTCTGTGTGGAAGTACTTGCTCTGCTCTTCGAGTCATGGAAGTCAGAGGCAAATGGGAAAAAAAGCAGTTGAGCGTAATATTAGAAAGCTATTGTTTATTTAGCACAGCAGTATGTTAAACATATTTACCTTGTTTGTCCCACTGTTCATGATGGTCATCAAATTTTGCATGGCATTTTAAAAACCAAACCAGGAAATCCTGCTTAAGATGAATTTTCACTCTCTGTGGACAGTGATTTCTGTTCCACCCCCATGAACGCGCTGAGAAAAAGGGTTTTCCAGACAGACTTGGATCCCACTGGGAACAAAAGGGTCTGAGTCAAGAGTACTGAAAGCCACAGGTTCCTGCCCAAATACAGTAAGCCTCTTTTCCTTCTGATTCCTTTAATCTCCTTTGATTGTAATGAAGTTTCATTTTGCTGAGGAGCATGACTGAATTGAACTGTGGCTGATTAGAGATAGAGAGTTTCCACCAGGTTGGAAATAAATGAGTATGTGTAGCCTCAGGTCTTGCATATTTCCCTTAATGCGGTTATAAAAGCACAGGGAATGTATGCTCTTCAGTCCCTCCATTAAGTAAAGGGGTCTGTAAAGAGAGATGTTTTTGTGTGTTCCATGATCCTGCTGTGCTCGATGCTAGTAAGATTAAGTTGACAGAAGCCTGGCTTTGGCTTCAAATCCCCTCTCAGCTAGGATTTTTGGATATCCATGAGCATATAGATCCCCATATCTCTCAGCCTAAACTCCATTATAAAGCAGGGGATATTCCTGTTTTACTACTTCATTACTTTACTAGGGTTGGATTTAGTTAAACAAGACTGTATTGTCTGTGCAGCTCATGTTATGGTTTTAAGATGAGAGATGGGGAATAGCGTTAATTCATCAGCTTATGAGATCTGGATGATTCCTACCCTGATGACATTTCAGAAGATCTTGAAACCTGGCTATTCTTCCAGGCTTGGGATAGGGTGTATGGAAGACCCCCCCCGCTTTGTTGTCTGGATTTCCATTTTGTAACTATTTTACAATTCTTTTTTGGATTACTTTTATTGTATTCTTATTTACCTGTTGTTTTTATGCTGTTCTTTACTTCATGAGCCACCCAGAGTTGGGTGGGATCAAAACTGAATGAATGAATGAATAAATAAATTTTGTAATTAAGTCATAGAATTTTGCTGCTTAAGATGCAGTTTAGATAGTATTTAAAAAGTGATTTGGTTATGCCGTGTACTCCCTTGTAAATTCCTGATTGACTCTTGGAAACAAAATATTATTCTTGATGGTAAAAGGTAAAGATTCCCTTGAATTGAGCTCTATCTCTGGTGAATACATCAACATTTGCATAAAAATTTTTGGCAACAATATAGAGCTGGTTTTCTATGCTGCTGCTTTCTTCCAGGTTTGTTTTTTTTTTACTTCCCAGCCTAGCCTAAAAACCTGGGATAGTCTGGTGGTCTCCCATCTATGTCCTAACCAGGTCTCCCCCTGCTTAGCTTTTTCAAATCAACCAAAATTGGCTATTATACTATGGTAGATTAAAATGGACTCCTGAGAAGAAGGACAATTAATTTCAGAGAAGTTAGTGATCATGTCTTGATCTTCTTCTGTGACTTGAAAGATGCAGTTATATTCTTTTTTTCTTAAGGCTGAAGATACCCAGTTTCCTCAATCTTTCCTTGTATGATTTAGTTTCCAGCCTCCTCTTTGCCTTTCTCTACATCTTTTATGTTTCTGTGAATCTTTATTAAATTCTGGTGTCCAGAATTAGCTCTGACCAATGCAGAATATAGTGAATCTATTACTTCTCATGAGAACCAGTTTGGTGTAGTGGTTAAAGGCACCAGGCTGGAAACCACGAGGCTGTGAGTTCTAGCCCTATGTAAGGCACGGAACTGAAAGCTGTAACCAGCTGGATGACTTTGGGCCAGTCCCTTTCTCTTGGCCATAGGAAGGAGGCAAGGACAACGCACTTTCAAAAACGTTGCCAAGAAAACCGCAGGGACTAGTCCAGGCAATTACCAGGAGTCAAGATGAACTCAAAAGCATTTTTTGAGAGCTGGTTTGGTATAGTGGTTAAAGGTACTGGAAACCAGGAGGCTGTGAGTTCTAGTTCTGCTTTAGGCACAAAGCCAGCTGTGTGACCTTGGGCCAGTCCCTCTCTCTCAGCCCTAGGAAGAAGAAGAAGAAGGCAAGGGCAACCACTTACGAAAAATCTCACCAAGAACACTGCAAAGATTTGTCTGTGTGGTCACCAGGAGTCAAGACTGATTCAAAGGCATGCCTAAATCTATATCCTTATGATTTATACTTCTGTTGATGTATGTTAAAATTGCACTTGACTTTTTAGCAGCTGTGCCACAATGCTAATTCATTTAACAGACATAACAAACTTTTGATAAATATGCCTCAGTGTGCCTGGGGGGGGGAAAAGATTTTACACTCTGAAGATAGTTGCTTGTTTTGGAAATGTAAGGATAACACATTCCCTTGAAAATTCCTATTAGTTCACTTGTTCTTTTTTCTTACAGATGACTATATGGCCATTGGTGCTGACTGTGAGCAACTTGCTGCCCAGATTGAAGACTATATCCTTTCATTGTTTGTGGCATCAGGAAACCAACAAAAGAGATAAGTAATGTGATACTGTCCAGATGTTTTGGCCTGCAGTCCCTGTCAACCTTAACCCTCATTAGTTGTGTTAAAGGCCTTGAAAGTTGAATCCTAAACATCTGAAGGTACCACCCCCCCAAAAATTGCAGGATTCTGAACAGCTGTTACTTCAAATGGAATCTCCTAATCCTTATTTTTAAGACCCTGTCCAGGGTCTGATACCATTAAAGCAGTTTACTGCTTTCTCCTGGGAACCCGAGCAATGTGATATTTTGGAAAGGGCTGGGAATTCTTCAGTATGGATTCCTAACTTTTCAACAACATTGCAGAAGAACAGCAGCCCTGGAAGTCATCAGCATTATGAGTGAACGGTGGGAACCAGAGAGAAGGTAGCATAAACTGCAGGGCCTCAATCGGGGAGGTGGTTACATGCGATCACTTGTCTGGAGGCTGTGGTGGGGTGATGTCTTCAAGGTTCATATTCTAGAAGTGATGAGTTTTTGGGCTGAATGGCCGTCTTCTAATTGTCTTTTGTCCTGAAGTTGTGGCAGCAACTGCGGTTGGCATCTTCAGAGGCAGAGTTTAGTGATTTGTAGTGAACCTCTCAAGCAGCTCATAGGCAGCTGAACTGGGTTGACTGGGCTCTTGTGTTTGAACCTGGCAAGCTGATCTCTGAAACATCAGGACAAAAGAAAACTAGAGCATGGCCATTCAGCCCGAAAATTCATCACTGTTTCATTGATGCCAACTGTGAAAGCTGAAACCAGTACATTGTTCATATTCTAGGTTTGAATAATGCTATTCTTAGTTAGAGGTCCTACTCAGTTCCTTGGGCATATGGATTATATTTCCTGCTGCCTCTAAAGGTATTGTTATGAAGGTGGAATCTCCAGAGCTGTTCACAGATCCCCTGATGTTCTCTTCATTTATGCTGACCCTTGGTAAAATGTCTGTCTCCCCACTTAAGATTTGAGAACTTCTCTTAGTGTGGATACCTAGACGTTTCCACTGACTGACTGACATGTTGATAGGTTTCTGGCTGGAGCTATACTAAATAAACATCTCTTTCTGTGGTCCTTAATGGCATCTGAACGTATATACCAAGATGTGAAGAACACAGACTTGAAGTACAAAAACCGTGTCAGGAGCCGCCTCTCCAATCTAAGGGACTCCAAGAATCCTGACCTTCGAAAGAATGTGTTGTGTGGGGTGATTACTCCAGAGCAAATTGCAGTGATGACTTCAGAGGTGAGATGGAGGTCTGAGTAGCCTAAAGAATCCAGACTGGATCCATTCAAGTAGCCGTGCTACTACAGTCCTCCATGGTTTCCATTGCAAAGCACAACTGTCTAAGGCAGAGATGCCAACTTTCTTTGTATTTATATATTGTCACCTTTAACCTGCAGAATGATTTGGAGGCTATTCAAAGAAAGACAAACTGTATGGAGGGGGGCTTTATTCAGCTGTCAGTTTCACTCCCCACACCCTCCTATTAATTGTGGGGATACTGGGGAACATGATGGTAATAGGCAAGACTAGAGATGCTTGGGTTTCCTTCTTATTTTGAGGAGTTTTCTTTCTATTCTTTTGACACGCTATAGCTTTTTGAGTAAGCAGTTTTAATCTGTTCTTGATGGCGCATTGCTAAAATTACTGAGCTTAGCAATCAATGTGCAGTTTACACATCCCATATTTTGCCACTGCTTCTTCCTCTCAGGAAGGAGAAGGGCTGTCCCTTGGTGAGGACAGGGAGGACCAGCAATTGCCTGGACCTTGGAAATGCGACAAGACATGATGGGCTCTTTTAGATGATTAGTAAAAGCAGATTAGAAAAAAGATCTAAGGATGAAAGATGTAGGATGATCCTGAGTGACAGAAGAATAGTGGATAGAACGGGCTTCTGCCTTCCTGACTGTCTTGGTTGGCAACTCTGTGAATTGGGCTGGTTAAATGGGATCTGTGGTTTGATTCAGCAGAAGCATTAGATTAAGCTAGCATTTCTCAACCTTGGGAACTTTAAGATATGTGGACTTCAACTCCCAGAATTCACATCTTAAAGTTCTCAAGGTTGAGAAACACTGGATTAGGCACTCTATTTATTTATTTAATCTATCTGTACTACTTCCTATGTGATCACATCTGCATTGACAAAAAATAAGATTTGGTTAAAATATGATCATATACTTTATCATTATATTCAGTACAATATAAAAGCATGTTTTTGAAGATTCTCAGTCATCCAGGTGGAATTGTCTGGAGGTTGAGTCATGGCAACTGGAC